GGAGGCATATCGCCTGCAGGACATGGAGGAGCTCCGGCCACCACTGCCACCACCGCAGATGCCTCCAGCTCCTCCGCTCCTGTAGGAGGTACTCGATGTCCTCTTGATGCTGCAGCTCATGGTGGAAGCTCTCAGATGTCCCCAAATGCAAAGCCCCTGCACAGCTGGATAGAAGAAATCAGAGTGCTGCCTTCTGCCTTCACTGGAGCCTTTTTATACGGTGCTGGGTGGGTGTCACCTCTCAGGCAGTCCAGCTTCCCATGAGGTTTGCCAGCCGGAGTGCTCACGCCAAAAGTGATGTGCTAAGGGGAATTTCTTTTGGGACCTGAGACAGCCCTCCCCATAGGTATTGTGTGTGCATGCTGATTCACAGAAAGCATTCACAGTAATTTTGGGTGGGTGGCTTGCTGTTAGATTTTGTTTCAGATAGTATGTTGCTGGCTACTTAGGGAGTGAAACTTATTTTAATAATTCCTCTTTGATCTTTGTAGTCATTTCTTTTTTGTCCTGAAAAGAGGTGGTGAAAGCACCACCTGGTTACTGTTTTTTATTTTCATAGATGGAGAAATATGAACTCGGGTACCTGAATTTTGCCTGCAGAAGTGCAGCACCTGACATTTCTAGAAACAAAATCTCTAAAAATTTAGGTCCTGTCTCACACAGAAAACTTATCCTGGGTATTTTCTTTCAGAATATTCAGTGATAAGTCTCTGTAGAGGAAGCACTGCAGAAGCAGTAATTCCCTTCTTACCAAACTCTGGTAATATCACCAGGAAACAATCCAATGCCTTGCCAGAGTGATGGATGTGCAATAATGTTGTTAATTAAAGTTGTGATTTTGTATATTTTGTGCAGATTTCCATTCAATCAAAAACTGTTCTGGACAGAAATAGATGGGTAGAATGTATAAGGCATTGCTGACTGTCTTGGGAGAGAAAAGTAAAGGGACACAGCTTTTAACTCAGCAGAATGAAGGTGTAGATGGGGTCACCTTGCTCTGATGGGAAGAAATAGCAGCGCTGTTTCAAATATGGATGATCCTGCTGTGTACGTGGGAAGGGTTGTCATCTGCCTTTCAGTGCATGTGGGCTGGAAACTAGAGAAAGGTTTGTATCCCTGGGAGGCAGAAGGGTCTGGAAGGTGCCTCCACTGTGGGGCTTTTGATGGGAAGGAGAAGCAGTTGTGAGACTGACCCTGAGCAGTTTGTGGTGGGGATTTTTCCTTCACATAGTGGAGTCCCAGCTGCGATGACCCTTTAGGTCCCCAGTGCCTCCTGGTGTGGCACGATCGCAGCCTTTCTGTCAGAGAGCAGGATGTGATGAACCCTTTGGAAATGGAGTTTTGCCATTAAATCACTTTGGGAAAACATCAACTTGAAGCTTGAAAGACAAGGGGTCTCTTTACATGGGAGTTGAACTTTGATGGGAATTCAGCTGTGTTTGGGAGTTAAAATTACCAGTGCATTTTGCTGGTTTGTTCATTTATGATCCTACTTGCCCACAGCTTGAAATTGTGGCTGGGGCAACATTTTTTCTATTAGCCACAGCAATTATGAGCCCCATAAAAGCTACTGCTACATGTTATAATTGACCGAAGACTCATGGAAAGCCATTTGCCCTCCTTCTTGATACCCTAGCACACGTTTCATAGATATGATGAAGATAATTTAATACTTTGATCTTCATAATTATGATTGTTCCTTTATTAGTAGTCCCTAATTATCTGCACGTCAGAACCAGTTGCTTTGCATATATAACTGAGACTGAGTCATTATTAAAAAGAAAAATTATTTTCTCACAGGGCGTGATTCCTTAGTCATATTTTCCTCATTAGGTTGTTGAAATGCTCTTTTATTCTTCCCTATGAGATGTTTATTGCTCAGTGGCATTGATGCCAGAGGTGTTGATTTTATGTCGCCTTGGTGCTGTTGCATCATGACATCTGACCCAACAATTCCCAACATTTCCCAATGCTGTAATTCCATGTAATTCCCTACCATCCACAGATGCCTTTTCCCTGTCCCTTATTCCTTTTTTTTTTTTTTCTTCTTTTTTTTGAGCAGCTGATCTAACTCTGCTTAGGGCTCTAAACGTATCCCCAAATTTAACTTTTAGTCTTTCTATCCTGTAACTCACTGCATTTCTGTGTCTCCTGTGCATTTTTGGTCCACCCCACTGTGCTTTGGCCTGAGATGGCTGCTGGCAGGCAGTTTGGAACAGACACACCGATTTGCTTCACAGGGCAAAAGAGCAACTTCTCGAGGTGCTGTTAGCACTTGTAATCCTTGCAGTGACAGAAAAGGGTCGGACAGTTTCTGTTGTGAAGCATATAGGGGCTCCTCAGCACTTTGAAGAGCTCTGAAATCACTTCTTGCCCTGGAAGACCTTTTGCTCACAATCAGAGAAGTTTATCTGAAGTCGCAGTGTTATGAAAACTTTCCGAGTGCTGTTTACTCCCTGGTGAAATTGGATGCAGAACCACAAGCAGATGCTCTGAACTGGCAAAAGAACCAAAACAGGCGGTGGTTTTCACAGGAGCCCCGATGCTGGTGCTGGATGTGTGTCTGCAGTCACACAGAGGGAGAGGACAACCTCAGAGACATTTACTGGTAATTAAATGTTCTGCAACAAATGAGTCAACTTTCGTCTTGGTCAGAAGAGCGCTGCTCTCATCGGCTTCATCGGGAACTCCCATCAGTGCATTCCTCAAGCTCTGCCCATCAGCATTCAGCATCTCCGATCTGGGAACTTCGTCAGCTTGCTCAGAAATTCATGGTTTCCATAGCCCAGATTCTCTTCTGATTTTTCTCTTACGTGACTGCCTGAGATGGACCCGTATGCCTTGAACACATAGTAGAAAATCCTCTTAAATATCAGCTGTGTTAATTCTACAGTCTGAGTTGTTAGACCAGTAGTCCTTCCTACCACTGCAAAAATAAAAGGTTTCAAGAGTAATTCCCAAGAGAAATGAAGCTTTTCCAGTATAACAGTCCTTTCCTGTTCTCTTTCTAACTCCCTGCTGTAATACGCTGTCATTATCAACGGTGTTAGCTAATTGCATGTAAATTCCTCACTGCCAAAGCCCTTTTCATTCCCTGGAGATCTTTTCAGGACAATGCTCAGCCTGCGTTGCTTTTTCTAAAGAATCGTGGCTGAAGTGAAGGAGGTGCCAGGAGCAGGCAGCGGTATCGAGGCACCTGCCAGCATCTGCCCCGGTTTCTGCAGCACCTGCCAGCCCGCGTTGATGGCAGCGAAGCATGCTGTGCTTCTGGCACACCTGGGGCATGTTCCATGCCTTTTTCCTGGGACAGCCCTTGCTCCATCCCTAGGTGGAGGTTGGAGCCTCGTGACTCAGTGGTGACAATAAAAATTGTTCTGTCAGCTTTGGGAGGCCTCCAGCAGAGCCCCAGTGCTGCTGCAGCGACCGGCAGCTCCGTAGTGCGTCCCCTCCTGTCAGGCTGATGATTTTGCATGGCTTTGGTTTTACAGATTTGACTGGAGATTGCCATCTGTTCACAAAGTCCTTGCACTCTTACAGATTACTCCAGAAACAGGGAAAATGGTGTGTATGGCAGTGCTGGCGTTCCCTGGAGTTCTGTGGCTGTGGAAGGCTGTATTTTGGTCATTCTGAGGCTTCTTTACACTGCTGGAAGACCAGAGGGGAACAAAATAACCTCAGTGCTTACTTATATGCACTTACTGGAGTCCAGGTCTCCATAACCCTGCTCAAAAAGGTGTCTCCACAAGAAGCTTTGACTGTATTAAGTACAGCTGAGGCGTGAGCGAATTCTGGCAGCCTTTGGAGGTGAAATTTGTGCTTGCATTCGCTTTTCATCCCTTTCTCTATAGTTAAAACCTTAAAGGAGTTTTTTGCTTTGGAGAAGGGCTTTCTTCATACAAATTTCTAATTCTGGCCTGAAAAAAAGTTGGTTTGGAAACGCAGTTTCTCAGCATGAACGGGGATTATCTCCTCTTTGTGGATACTTACTGTAGACTGCAATTATGGTACTGTGGTGGCCGAGCCAGGCCACGTAATTACCAAGAGAAAACCTAACCTAAATAACATTCTTCTAAGCTGTTTATGATGAGAATGCCTTTCATTTATTACCCGAACAGAACAATACCCTCAGCCCTAAGTGAAATGGCAGGTACTAGAGACCAGATTTGATCGGGGAGAAGGGAATGAGGAGCCCTTGGAATGAAAGCTGTCTGATTTTGTGACATTGATGTACGCGGTTATGGGTTAAAAAGGGGCTTCACTGTGATCTTCAGAAAGGAAAACATACATAAAATACTAATTCTAATTTAGTATTGCTGTCTCGTCTCCAATTGTATTGCATATTCTTTGTCTTCTTAGAGAAGCAGAAACATGCAGCATAGGAAATACTTCCAGTGCATGAAATGTGTCTGATTCCCTGGAAGGTCTTGTAGCAGCCAAGTGATAATACAGACAAAAATTGGGTTCTTGCCATCATAGTGGTATTTAAATTGAAATTTCTACCATAAAACAGAAATGATTTTGGGGCATGACACTGAGTGAAGCAGGCGCATTGCCTTGTTGGCTGGGTTTCCTAACAGGAGTTAGCAATACGTAATTCTCCACATGGTCAAAGGTGGAGAAATACATGATGTCAGGAAACCTATGTGTGCTGAAGCAACCTATCCTGAGTCACACTTCCCACAGGAACTATACCAATAATGAGCTGAGCGAAGCCAAAGGTGAATGGATTCAGATGAGTCGGAGCTGTGGCATTAAGCAGAGTTTAGTACATTAATGGTTAATTAATCTTCACGGATTACCCGTCGTTTTCTTTCTCCTTTCCTGTAGCTCAGTGACACCTCCCAGGCATGATGTCCATTTTCTTAAAGCAAAACAATTTGTTCTCAAATTATGTTACAAACTCTGAAAGGACAACCTGTATTTTATTGCACAGCTTGGTAAATCTTAATCAATGTGTGTTAAATTAAATTTCTGAGACACATTTTTATTTGCATCAAAGAAGTAATGTTTATTGGAGGCAGTTTTATCAGCAGAATTTAAGCCTTTAAGCAAGAACCAGTTGACAAAGACAAGTTGAGTAAGACAAACATTGCAGAATGGAAGAAGAGGTGATGAGGCAGGGGGCCAGGCACTCCTTCCAAATCCTTCTGGTTGCATCGGCTGAGCTGCAGAAGCGCTTGGGTTCTATCTCTCGTTGTCCATGGGTCACTTCAGTGCATCTTAGATGAAGGATGCCAGCATCACTGCTGTCGCTCTAGCACACTCTTGCCTGTCCTGTGGAAGACCAGAGCAAATTACAGTCTTAAGAGGAAATCCGATTTTCCCTGCTTATCTGACTCTTTTCACCTAACATGCAGTGTTAGCAAGAGAAGAATGGGAGGAGCTCACAAGGCTCCAAGCCCAGTGAGACCCTAGGCAGTTTCTCAGAACTGTAATTTTTTAATTCCAATGTCCCGAAGAGCAGATCCTGTCCTATAAAGTTTATAATCTGTGTTTTACATTTAGGTACAGGGAAGGGCAAGACAAGGCTTGTCCGAGACAAAATGGTGATGTTGTTTCTGGGCTCCTCAACCTGGGAATTTTGCCCAGCCCAGAATAAAACATTTTTTTTTTTCTGACAAAATGTATTGTCATCAGGATAGGGGTAACAAACTATTCTTACCTGAAATGTCACCAGTCTGGGAATGAGAGTACGAAGTAGAAGAATAGGAATGGGAGGATTTACCACCTTGGAAAGCTCCCTGGGAGGCACTGTGAAAAGAGAAAAATTCACCAAAATTTAACAGCTAAGCACTGGGTATTCAGTCAAAAAAGATACTAATGTAGTTGCATGCACAAGAAGTCTCTGTTGGAAATAATGTGCTCAAGGATTTCTTTTTATACCCCTGCTCTAATATTGTATACATACACAATGTCTTGCTGTCCCTCCTGCAGCAGTGCGCGGTACTGAGCGATCTCCTGCTCCAGGCGGGTCTTGATGCCCAGCAGCATCTTGTACTCCTGGTTCTGGCTCTCCATCTCACAGCGGATGCTGGCCAGCTCCTCCTCTACGGAGTTAATCTGCCCTTGGATTTGTTGCAGCAGGCAGCCGTAGCGAGATTCGGTTTCTGCCAAGGAGTTCTCCAGCGAGTTTTTCTAGGAGAGGAAAGGCAGGAGGGTAGCACCGGAGCTCTACGTCCCCTACCCGACGAGGGAGCTTCCCGTCACGAGGAGGAGAGAGCCCGAGCACCCCTGCCCCAGTACCGTGCTGAGCTGCGCCTGCAGTTCGATCTCCAGGTTCTGCATTTCGCGTCTCAGTTCCGTGAGCTGGTGGGTGCTTGTCTGGATGTCCTGGCTGCTGGAAGTGACCTGGCGGTTGACCTCTTCGATCTGCAGGAGCAAAGCAGCAAGCACATTGGGAGTTAGAAAATCCCTTTGCGGAGCAGTTGTCTGGCTGAGGGTCAGGTAGGCAGCAAACCTCCCCCTTTGCTTGGCCCCTCATGGAGGACAACGTGGTCTTTACTCCATAGCCCCTGGCTTTCCACCCATCCTTATCCCTCAGACCTGGCCTACTGCCCTCCCCACTGCAGCCTTTTCCTTCGTGGCCCCCCCTTGCCGTGCGAGGGAGATGATGGGAGCACTTCAGCATTGCTCCGTACCTTGACTTCATACCACTGCTCAACCTCTCTGCGGTTCTTCTCAATGATCTGCTCATACTCGTTTCTCAGGTCGTTTAGTATCTTTGTCAAGTCTTCACCAGGAGCAGCATTGACCTCCACGCTCACGTCGCCACCGGTCTGAGACTGCAGCTGTCTCAGTTCCTGCAGGGAAAGGAGGAGAGAAACAAAGAGCACCGGTCATTCCTTCTGCTGAGGACAGCAGGTGAAGCAGAATCAAGGTAGGAAAGAATGATAGTCACATCACATAAGGCTGATTTTTGATATTTAACTTCAGGAACCCCCCAAAATCAAAAGAATATTTCTTGAATGTGCTATTGATTTCTGGATCTTACCTCCTCATGGTTTCTCTTGAGAGCAATCAGCTCATCCTTCAGGGACTCAAGCTCGGATTCCAATGAAGACCTGACCAGAGTCAGATCATCCAGGAGATTTCTCAAGCCATTGATATCAGCCTCCACAGTTTGACGGATGACCAGTTCGTTCTCATACCTTTACCACAGACAACAGAGACAGATATGAGATGATGACAGTCAACAGCACACGTATTTACATGTCAGTATCCCAATAAACATGGAGGCACACCACACAACTGTGCAATGTGTTGTCTACTGAATTTGTGAACGGGACAAAAAATACATGCAGGGTTCCCAGCGAGATACTCACTTCATGCGGAAGTCATCAGCAGTCATCTTGCTGTTGTCGATGTCCAGAAGCAGCTTGTTGTTGTCCACAGTGGCAGAAATGATCTGCAAAAGAGGAAGTTGGAGAAGAGTTTGAGTTCAAGACATCCAGGAGAAAAAGAAAGGAGATCCAAAGCTTTGAGAGGGCTTTGTTGTGGATTTCAGACTCATTTCTCACAAGGATGTAGGGATCATACATGTATGAGAGGATTAGCTACAAATTTACTTGTCAAGGTAACTCAGGCTGCAACAGAGTGACCTCCAAACTCCCTTTTCTTTTATTCTGTTTCTCAAACAGTTCCCCACATCACCCAGGGAATGCGTTCATCCCTTCTCCCACAAAGTGCTCCTTCTCAGTCTGTTTACTGTAATTTCTTGGTACTGATGTAAGATAGCTGTAAGGGAAGGCCTCGGTCCATCCAGGTGGTTTATGTAGGAGTGTGCAAAACCAGAGGGAATTCAGATCTTGCAGCCCTTGCAAGATCTTTCTGCTTTGGCTTTGCACTGCATCCAGCTGAACAGGTTGGGAGTGCTGTGGAAACCCCCCTGGAGCCACCGGCACAGTGCGGGGTTTGAGCTGCATGCACCAGCAGGTTTGGACTGGTGGAGCACCGCTCGGTGCCTCGGGCTGTGCCCCCCGAGCACAGCCATGCCCTTGTGGGATGGTGAGAGCTTCGCTTGCCCAAGAACTGGGCAGCGGGCTCCGCTCTGCAGGCTTCTGGCTGTCGGGCAGCATTAGGCTGCCCCCGAGCTCCCTGCCAGCCCCCAGGAGCCCAGGGCAAGAGCAAGTTCTCACGCCAGGGCGTTATTAAGGGCTGAAGCCACGTGCATTGGTCTACCTACCTGGTTCTGGAGCTGCTCAATGGTCTGGTAGTAGGCGCTGTAGTCCTTTGAGGCAGTGGGAGCTTGCTTCCTGTACCACTCACGGATGTGGTGCTCGAGCTGAGCATTTTCTTCCTCCAGCCTCCGCACCTTGTCCAGGTAGGCAGCCAGGCGGTCATTGAGGTTCTGCATGGTGACCTTCTCATTTCCACTCAGCAGGGCATCTCCCCCCATCCCAAAGCTTCCTGCAAACCCACTACCAAAGCCTCCTCCCATCCCAGCGAAGCCCCCAGCAACGCTGCCAGCGCTCATGCCACCCCCGTAGCCGATGCTGCACACTCCCCCCGCAGAGCTCCCCCCGCCGATGACGGAGGAGGCATATCGCCTGCAGGACACGGAGGAGCTCCGGCCACCACTGCCACCACCGCAGATGCCTCCAGCTCCTCCACTCCTGTAGGAGGTACTCGATGTCCTCTTGATGCTGCAGCTCATGGTGGAAGCTCTCAGATGTCCCCAAATGCAAAGCCCCTGCACAGCTGGATAGAAGAAGTCAGAGTGCTGCCTTCTGCCTTCACTGGAGCCTTTTTATACGGTGCTGGGTGGGTGTCACCTCTCAGGCAGCCCAGCTTCCCATGAGGTTTGCCAGCCGGAGTGCTCACGCCAAAAGTGATGTGCTAATGAAATTTTGGTCTTGGGTAAGTAATACGCATTACCGTTCTGCTCAAGTATGTCTGTGTTGATTCACACAAGGCATGTACGATAATTTTATGTGGGTGGCTCTTTGCTAGATATTTTTGTAGGATAATACAATATCTCATAGCTTTTATTAATCTGGCAATATATCTCTAGTAATAGGAGTTAATGAAGGCTCCGCCTTGGTTGCCTGTCTCCTTCAGTCTTCAGTGTGGTGAAATTCGGTATTTCAGCCTTTGACTTCCTTCTTCCATCATAGGCAATGAGTCCTAGCTCCGGCAGCCTCCGAGTGGCTCCCCATTCATTACTTTATTTGGAATTTACATTCGCTATTTGAAAATCTGCTTACATTTACGGAAAGAAATGGCTCATTTTAAAAACTGTGTTGCCATGCCTCATAAAAGGGAACTTTACACGGGACTTTCTACTGTCTTGCTGCTGCTTAAGTCAAGGAAGTTCTTGCTGGTATTTATCTTTCACTTATTTTTTCTGACAGTGCAGGATGGTGACAACAGTCATTTTCCTGTTGTAGAAAATCGGGTTCTAGCCACAGAATTAATATTTTGCAAGGGAAAACATACTGAATATTTTCCCATCAAGCAGCTACCGATTTTATTTTAGCTGTTTAAAACAGACTTGTAGGGAACTGAGAGGAGAAATCCCTAATATTTCAGATTTTGTAGTCATATTAAAAATAACCATTTCTCAAAATACACTGTAGAATGATGTAATACAGTTAAAAAATCATTTACATTAAAGGACATGGTGCCAAAAACTACATCTGAAAAAATACATTAATTATCTGGACTCGTTACAGTGAATTGTGTTTGCCAGTGGTGAAAGAATATTTTGCAACACGAAACAAGGAGTAAGAAACACTTCTATATATTTTCCAGTGTCTATGCAATATCAGATCTTCAGTGAGTTGCTTTTTCCATCTTCACCTATGAAGCTTTTATCAAACAGAGAAAAGCCTTGCAGGGAAGCATGTTCTGGTTTCCAGTTGTCCATTAAATACCGGCACCGTAACCCCTACACAAGGCTTCGGCTAGCACAAAGGAAGCCCACGGAGCTGGTGGGAACTGCTGTGAGTTGCAACATCAGAATCGGCTTATCCACGTTGAGGGAGGATGAATTCAGCCTAGATTTATTTTCAGGAGAGATTTGGTAGTACAGAAGGAGAAATAAACCCACTAAAATTAGCAAAAGGAGAATGAGAAGGGATTAGGTTGCCTTGCACGTGAAGGTAAGCATCAGAGGAGTGTTTGAATTGCAGGACAGTGTGCCTGTATGTGCCATGTGGCTGTAAAGCAGCTGGGGCTGGAGCACTGAGCAGGGGCACCTTTTAATTTTGCTGTGCTCTTGCTCCTGGTGACTGCTCTCCCCCCTCTGAGACACGCGGGGAAGCAGCACTCCTCTTTGCCAGCCTGGAGCAGCGCAGGCACCGAAGGGAACCAGGCACAGACACGGCTCCTGCCGCCACGCCTCCAAGCACCGACAGGCAGCTACTTGAAAACAGACGGCTTCAGCCGGGGCAAAGTTGTATTCTTGCAGAATCTTCGGTTTTGCGGGCTGGGTTTTTTAGGTTTATTGTTTTGCAATAGTTATTTTGTATATCCATGCGCCTCTTTTTCTTCTGTAGTCAAAAAAAGTCTGTTGGCTTACCAGTAAAATGCTGTTGAGGTGGAATGGGAGGGATGTGAACTGTTACCACTGGAATATCCTCTGCTACCTGTAGAGGTGCTCGGTGCTTAGAAGCTTAAGACGTGATGAGGTATAAACTCGAGGTGCTGAATCCCAGCACTTGAATTCATCTGCCTAAAGGCATGTCCTTGCCTGTGGCTTGCAAAGAAGCTAGAGATGTTAGCTCTGACTTCTGAAGGAAAGGGACGGAAAATGGGTAAGGAAAATGGAAGGAAAATGTAAAGGGAAAATGGGTAAGGAAAGGGAAGGAAAATGAGTAAAATAGTCCTTAAAACAGAATAAGTTCTTAATAATAAGTCCTTAAGACAGAATAATAATAATAATAGACAGAATAATAATAAGTCCTTAAGACAGAAATAAATTTTTGAGCTTGAAGTGAGACTGAGTCATGACAAGATAGCTACAAAATTATGATGTAACAGCTTTAAATCGACTAGCTTTAGTTAGGAACACCTTCATGTCAGTCCTGATTTTGCAGACTGCTGTGTTTAGACAGAATGCTGTCATATCCTTGGGCATCATGCGCCTCTTTCCAAGGCTGAAACACTCTGGAATACTATCTGTTGTTCATGCAGATTTTTTTTTCTATGCCTTTTCCACCATTCTCTGAATCTTTTTCAGCTCTTCCGTGTTATTTTTGAGAAAGTGTCACCAAAACTTCCCACAGCACTCACAATACAACTCATGGTATCCTCGTGCCCTAGACTGACAGTGAAATAAATGATGTTCTTCATTTTGATCTTCTGTACACTGAGCAGAGAACCATCCCTGTGGCCATAACCTTCAGTGGGACCTGGTGCCAAGTCTCACAGCTGACAAACCCCAGCTGTATGCCGTTCATCCAGCATTCCTACTCTCTAAATCCACAGGGTTTTGCTCATCTGTGTAAGACACAGTGAGATTCGTCATGCTTTTCATACTCTCTTTCAGTTTCCTGAGTCACAGCAGTGTCTTTTGCCTGAAAATGCTTCGTTCCCTCTAAGCAGCCTGCTGACTGGGTGCTGTCTCCACCCTGTGTATTTCAACGCCTTCAGACTTCATCATATGGTGCATAGGGCTCGGTGCCCCTTAGGTAGCTATGAGACAGGAGAATAAATTCGTTGTAAAGGTTACACTTTAAGTGTGGTTTAAATACACTTCAAAGCATAGATTGACATCTGTGGAGGCAGTTGTACCATACAGGGTGCAAGAGTTAACGACACAATGCCCTCTAGGGGAGTGTGGCATAACCACAGGAGATTACTTCGGAATAATCTCCCTGCCGTTCACTGCGAGCATCGCTTCTCTGTCTAGGTGATGCATGCAGGTAGCACTGGCAATATTTGTGTAGCACAGAATCTGTTTAACAGGCTTGATAAGACTTGCAAGCACAACACAAGCAACTGCAGAGTTCAGTTTGGTGAAGATGAGGTATTTCTATTCCCCTGAATGGTTTCCAAGGGTTGAGAAAGTTTGCGTGGCAGCATGACATGTATTTCTGGAATGTATTTCAATTTTACATCTATTCTCTGCGTCCACACCCTCATGCATTGGCCTATTAGTCTTTAATCAGTGGCACCAGTGTCTCTTGCACAAAGACCACATTTTCTTTAAGCTCCACTAGAGGCCAGTCCCTGAGCGCACAGCCCTCCGTCAGCAGTTAGGCCTGCAAGGCCACGTACGGGTGAGATTTGTGCAGCCTTGGGGAAATTTTGGCTCCTTGCTTGCCCTGGATACTTGCCAGCCTTTGGAGCTCTTACCTCTGTGTGCCTTTTTTTCAAAACTTGGATTCACCATCAACATCCCCTCTTGGCCTGGGTAATACAGAGCCTTCTGTTGTCAGCTGTGTGAGTTGAACCTGCCTCAGAGGGGATCCACAGGCAGATGTGCACGTGGGGCAGCATGGGTATTTTGTGTTCCTTTCCTTCTTTTCCACTGCTCTCGTTACTTGAGGACTGCACGGCCTGAAGTTGACTTCTCTTCTGCATTGTCCAGGTGGTAGCTGTACAATGGACTGAGCCTTTCAAATGAGTCTGAGGAATTTGGGTGCTGCCTGCTCGTTAAAATTACTAAAGCTGTGGTTCAAGATCTGTCTAATCTAGCAGCCATCTCTCCTCTAAAGTAGCACGCAGAAATTCCTGAGATTCCTGAAACGTGTGCGCCTGAGACTGCTTTGGAAGGCCGAAGACTGGTTTTCATTTCCTTTGATCTCTGAAGTTGTTCGGCTCCAGGAGGAAAGGTCATTTGGTCAGCCAAGTCTCTGGAAATGGTTTTATCCCAGGGGGTGGGCTGCAGTGAAAAAGCTAGCTTTGTTTTTATGAACAAAATTGTCCCAGTCACTGGAGAACGCTATGCTGTAAGTTCTTTGAAGTACTGAATATGAGGAAAAGTAGCGAACGTTCAGCTGAACAGAAGCAAACACAGCCTCCAGAGAGAGATAATGACAAGAGGGAGCTTTGTGGTGCGTGGTTTGTTGGGCTACTCTGAGCTGTTTTGCAAACCGGAGTCAGGAAAGTTTTCAGGGAACAGCTGGATGAGGTTGAAAGAGTTTATGTTAATTTTCTTCACAGTACAGATCTTCTTATATCTAAAAATAAACATTCCAGTTACTTTCATGCCTACTTCATTTGACACGGGTAGGGCCCAAATGTTGCGGTTAATATATAGCATTTTATGGAGTGGAACTTGGTAAAGATCCTTTAAATTATGTTCCCCTTTTTTCTCTTTTTCCCTTCTGTTCAAAAACAGATCACTAGTTTGTACATTTCTAGTTCAAACTGATGAGTGTCAGATAAGTTTTTGCAACCACAAATTGAAACCGCTTTCATTCCACAGTCACAGTCCTGTGATTGTTCATGTCTCTTTGTGTTTCAGCTCCACAGGAGTATCAGGCACATTATTAAAAACCAAAGGTGTAGCAGGATGCTGTGGAAGATTATGATCTGCCCTGAGTGCTCAGAAATTGAGCTTTAACTCTAAATTTCATTATCAGCTGTTGTAATGTATCATCAGCCTTCCTGCCTGGAGGCAATCATTGGCTTGGCTTTGTACTTTCTTTTTAAGTGTTTATACTTGCAGAACAGGAAAAAAAATCTTAGACACAAGATTCTGGTTGCATCAGACAGAAATGAAATTTTATTAGCGACATTTTCCTGATACAGAACAACGCAAGTAACAAACTGGTTGAATCTGTAAAGCAAGAAGTTCAAGTGCAAATGATTGAACCCACAAAGCGTTCTAGGTAGAAGAAGCACGTAGCATGCGTGGCAGGTGGTCCATCTGAGTAGTTCAGATGGGCCTTTTTGGATAGATGGCATCAGCAGCACTGAGGAACCGTGAGGAGCATCTCGTTCCTCCGGAGCGCGGGGAATGCAGAGGATTTGGGCC